GATGCTTCGTCTATGGGGTATTGTTTGATCCACATCGGAATTTGCTGGCGCCACAGTCGAACTCTATCTCCTTTAAGGTCATTTTTCACTTCAGGGTATTCCGCAAACTGAAGGTAGCTGCGTCTCTGGGGGTCAAAAGGTGGCCAATCGCAGGTAGAAAGACCACTCACTCCTTTGTTGGGGTTTCTGAAGTGCAAAAGAAAGGGGAGTTCTTAAAGTCCGGAATAAAAATCTGTTTAAAAATATTTTTTTGTTAGATACAATGTTTCAATGATAATCCCATCGGAGTTAGGCACTGGAAGGTCATTCAGTTTTGTTTTATATTTAGATGTTTCTGTTCGACTGTCTCGCTTAGCCTTAAGCGTGCCCTAAATGTCCATCACCACTGGCATCTGCCGAGGTAACGGGCAGTCTCTTTGCTGCGTTTCCCTCAAAAGACGTGATTCGGTTGCCGTGTTAGGAAGTTTCTTCCTTCAAGTAGCCTCGTTTTTCTGTTGGGATATCGTATTTTACACAGCCAATTTGGGCCCAGGCAGCAGACTTGAAGCAGCCTACCTCGTAAACCATTTAGCAAGGGTTTTATGACATTTTCAACCTAATAAGGTCGAGAGGCGAAATATTTATTTCATTAAATAACTTTACTTCTTCCCTTCCCTCATCTGGGAACATCGTCGCAGACAAATTCACCTACGCTAGAAGGCCTTATTCTTTTAAATAGACGTTCATGGAATAACCATTAGAGTCAACAAATAAGAAGAATCAAGATAATGACAAAAAATACATGCATTCCAAAATCAAAGAACTAAGCGGAATAAAATGATGCTCAAAGACAGGTTGCTCAAGATTAAAAGAAGGGGATGTTTTAATGGACAAAGGGGATGCCTTGAACAGATTGTCAGAATATATAGAAGAACTTTTGAACCAAAAAATGGAGAAAAACCTGTGATAAGGAAAGAAAGAAATGAACCACTAATACTGAGTGGACATAGTACTCTAAGGAAGTCAGGCGGATGCATAACAAGGGAAGTGTTGGATTGTAACCCACATGGTAAAAGATCAAGGGAAAGACCACGTGGAACCAGAAGAAGAGTCACAGAAACTGATGTATAGAAAAGTGGCAAGACATGGAATAACAACAAAAGACTTACACAGGAAAGAGTAAGATGGAAAGTGTTTGTTCGTACACTGTACCCTGACCCTGGATGAGAAAGGCTATAATGGTGATGATGAATACTGAAAGTAGAAGTACAAACTGCCATTAAGAAAATGAAACAAGGACATCCCACTTGAGGTTATTGTTATACTAGAAGAACTAGACTCTGAAATAACAACAAAGCTCTTCAATTCTATCAATGGCAGCGAGTAGATTCCAGAAAAGCGACCAGCGCCTAAGGCCACAGTGCTGCGACACAATTTCTAGAGTACTCACCCAGTCTTAACGAACTCGGAGATCATGTGCATGTACTTGTATTTAAGTGCTGTTTCTTCCGGTCCCCAGTTTTTGGGATCAAACTGGTGAAAAGCATGGTTGGCATTGGTAAAAGAGGTGATGGAGATGATGATGATGATGATGATGATGATGATGATGATGATGATGATGATGATGA